CACGCTCACAGCAACCTCCAACTCCTGGGCTCAAGCGAGTCTCCTGCCTCAGCCTCCCAAGTAGCTGGGACTACAGGCGCCTGCCACAACGCCTGGCCATTTTTTTTTGGTTGTAGCCATCATTGTTGTTTGGCAGGCCCGGGCTGGAGATTCGAACCCACCACCTTAGATGTATGTGGCTGGCGCCTTAGCCGCTTGAGCCACAGGCGCCGAGCCGACATTTGTATTTTCAAATGCCTATTTTAGACAAGCAGAAGACTAAAACCAATGATCCAGAACATACAAAGAACTCCTACAGTCAAGCCATGTATGGTGGTTGCACCTATCGTCCCAGCTACTCAGAAGGATGGCATGATGCTAGGAGTTCAAGGCCAGCCTGAGCAACACAGCAAGACCTTAATGCTTTTTTTCTTTTTTTTCTTTGCAGTTTTGACTGGGGCAGGGGTTGAACCCACTGCCCCTGGTATATGGGGCTGCCCACGACCTTAACTCTTTTAGGGACAAACCCCAAACCAAACCAAAACATCTTCTGCAAACAACAAAAAAAGACAACCCAATTATAAAATGTACAAAAGATCTGAATAGACACCTCCTAAAAGAAGAGCTACAAGTAATTAATATGCACACAAAAAGGTATTCAACATCATTGGTCAAAGGAGAAATGGGAATTAAAACCATAGTGAGATACTACTGACAATACTAAGTCGACAGAAATGTGAAGCAATTCTCTAATATTGCTAAAAGGACTGTAAAATGGCACAATCACTTTGGGAAACTGTTGGACAGTTTCTAATAAAGTTAAACACCTAGGCTAAGACCCACTGGTATGGGTATTTACCCAAGAGAAATATGTCCACAAAAAGACTCAAGAGTGTGCATAGCAGCTTTACTCATCATACCACCAAATTGGAAAACAACCCAAATGCCTATCAACAAGAGAATGGATAAAAAATTTTGGTATATACACAGAATTCTCGGCAACAAAAAAGAACAAAATACTGATATGCAATACATGGCTGAATTTTACAAATACTGAGTATAAGAAAAAAACACAGAAAGCCAGATACAAGAGTACATACTATACAATTTCTTTTAGGAAGTTCAAGATGAACCATAGTTATAGAATTAGAACTAAACGGAACTGGCTGCCTCAGGGCCAAAGAAAGGGAGATGTGTATGCTCCCTTCTAGGGGAGCAAGAAGGAAAAAGAAATGTTCCATAATTTGATTTCAGTCATATTTACATGAACATGATGTTACACAGAACAGTGTTTACAGAATTGGTATTTAGAAGAGTGATCTAGCACTATTCTGCCCTTAAAATGCTCACATTTAGGCTGATAAACACATCTGTCAAAATTCAAACTGTAACTTAAAATCTGTATTTTTTTTTTTTTTTTTTTTAGAGACCAAGTCCCACTTTGTCACCCTTGGTAGAGTGCTGTGGGTTCACAGCTCACAGCAACCTCCAGCTCTTGAGCTTAGGCAATTCTCTTGCCTCAGCCTCCTGAGTAGCTGGGACTACAGGTGCCTGCCACAATGCCCGGCTATTTTTTTGTTG